TGCCAAATCTTTAAATACAAATTTTAAATGCCCATGCTGCTACTATATGCTAGATACATGTATTTCTATGTATCTGATCGACAACTAGCCTTAATCAAAAGTTCTCGCTCATTAACAGGAGAGGTAATTAATTATAGGGGCTTGCGACTATAGCAAACCAGAACTCAGATCATAAAGTCCTCGCAAAATGAGGGTGAAATCTCTGGGTAGTGTCTTATCTACAAACCTAATGTGTCTTCCCAAAATTTATTCCGAAACTTAATCCATTAAAACTCCCTGAAAAGAATTGGGGAGGCCGGGGTTGAATTTACATAGTCCACAAATACTTGAACATTATCACCAACCCAATACATCTTCTAATAAAGAAATTCAACACTAGAATTAGCCATTATTAGCAAGGTTTTCTTAAGATTATTGCAGAGGTGTCTAAAACAACGGTGATTATTAGCCCATAGATGATTTTTCTTGCATCCACAAAGTAGACCTACATGACTATATGATGTGATACATAAATCTTATCCTAAAGGAAGCACTAAGATCAAATCTTTCAGAGTTTAGTTGCATTCTTACTTAACTACTATGAAAGTTCATGGAAAAAGACCATTACTTACATAAATTTCAACACAAATAAATAATGTTCATCTATATTTATCAAGCAAAAATGTCCCAATTATGCTTAAACTAGTCGGCAAAAACTCCAACCTTCTATGGAACATATGAATGCCCAAAATATTTATTGGAAATGGTTGCTCATTCTAGTGATGTTCTAAAAATTGAACCTTCATAATAGACATATGACATTGACTAATTTATTTGGCAAATGTTATAATTTTCTTTTGTATCCAAAAATGTCCTTCATGGCCTTCAATCTTTCATTCCAGACTTTTATACAAGAGGCAATCACATTGAATTTAGTATTGAGATGGGTCATAATCTCTTTGAGTTTATGATGACCAATTAATCATCATAAAATAAGATCAATCATGCTAATTGATTACTTATCTTTCTAATGTATTTTCTTTTCAAGACTAAAAGTGCAAATGTAAAAGTAAGTATATATATATATGGTCACAATAATTAATACATCTTCAAAGAGTCAAACAAACAAAAGAAATCTTGCAGAACACGTTGGAAAAACTTAATTCTTGGGGGAGCAGAAATCTTTCTTTAGCTGGAAGGATTGTTTTGATTAAATTCTCTCTTCTTTCTTTACCTACATTTCTTATTACTCACTCATTGGTGCCTAAAGGAGTTCTTGATGATCTATAAAATTTTTTTATGGCACAAAGATAAGGGAAGATAAGATTTGCATTATGTCAAATAGAATGATCTTTGCCTTCCTAGCAAGATGGGAGGTTTGGGTTTTCATTTAGCTGCCAAGTGGAAAGGTCCTCTTAGAGCTAAATTTACTTGGAACCATGGTTTAAAATTGCACAATAAGAGGCGTGACTCCACAATTTCGCCCCTTTAAGCCTCAAAGCCCACACAATGTGTTCAGGATTTGAGGTGTACGCTTCAAGTTTACTGAGGCGCGCCTCGCCTTACGGTTGAGAGGCGTCCGCCTCTAAAAATTTTAAAAATATTGTTGTCTTATTATTGGGATATTTTGATTTCACTTCATATCTTGTGCTTTTTTATGTTTTATATATTATTTACTCAATAGTATATACAAAATTTATCATTTTATATTTACGCAATTTTTTGATTTTGAGGTTTACGTCTCAAAACGCCTTGAGGCTTACTCCTCGTCTCACGAACAAAAAACGTCTCAATACCCGATTACGCAATTTTAAACATTGCTTGGAACTTCTGTTAATCCTAATTCTCTACTCAACAAATGTATCATTGCAAAATACGGTGATAATATTTGGAATTTTTCTCCCAACTGAACAAATTCTTCTATTTAAATGAAAATGAATTCGAAATGTTGTATCAGTATTCAGAAAAATCAATAGCTACATTAGTTATGGAGCATTCCTGCTCAAATAACTATAAAGACACAAGCCTCAGTTGGATTAAGAAGCTGAAACTAAATCCAAGGGAAGCTTTGTTCTGCATCCTTTTAATGATATTCTCCAAAAAATTCTTTTTTATCGCTCTAATAATGTGGTACTAGGTAGAATTTAGTACTCTACAATATTTCAAGCATGGAAAAATAGAAATTATAAGAAGCATAATAAATATATTTTATCTGCATCCTTCATTGTAACTTATGTTCTTGCATTTTCTATTAAACCACACTTTGATCTAATTATGGATAACTGGGATGATAATCAGTCGAATCAACTGTTTAATAAAATTTGGCATCGTCCACCTTCAAATTGGATAAAATTCATTGTTGATGTTTCTTTATGTAAATCCAACAAAGCAGGAATTGGTATTATTGTCAGAGATCACAAATGAAGATTTATCTGATGATGGAATCTGATGGCATTTGGATTGAAGGAGACAACTTCAACATTGTCAGATTAATGCGAATTTTTAAATCTATTCTGAAACCTGATAGAATTTATATTGATCTTTCTTTTTTGGATAACTTTAAAAATGTCATTTTTAATTTTATTCCTAGACATTGTAATAAAATTGTTGATTGTTGTGCAACTTATGCTTTATTAGAAGTTTTTATTGGACTATATTAGGTAATAATGTTCCTTCAATCTTATCATGTTTATTGAAGCAAGATTGTGATAGTATATCTATCATTTAGTTTGTAATAGCTTTCCTTTCTATTAGGATAATAGATATCTGCTTTCTTTAAAAAAAAATGAACTGAAGAAATTAATTTCAAATGTCATAATCAATAATAAATTTTCTGGACAAATAGTAGAAATGTGGAGAGGAAAAGGTGGGAACACTATTTTTAGTTAAATATGTCAAGAATGTTGAAAAGAAGTCAAAATGTTTTGATGTTTTAAAAAAAGTGAGCTCTCATGGATGAATTTTGATAAATAGGCTGGTAGTTGTATAAATTGAGGAGAATTCTGCAGCTCTATTAATCAAGACCAATATTCACCGACAACATCTGATGATTGTTGTAAAGCGTCATCAACTCTTCGGAAACAACATCTACTCTTATCACTGAAATAATTAGTACCCTCACTAACCGACAGGAGCGGAACTAGTCTTTCATTTTAAGGTGGGAAAACTTTTCATATAAATGTACTAATATTAAAAAAATGAGGACATAATTCAAAGCAAAATTTTGTATTTTATTATGATAGATAAATTGAAAATTTATTACAAGCTTATTAATTTGTTTTATATTTTTTTGATAATGTTACATTTTAAGTTCATTGAGAATCAAATCGAACAAATCTTTTTCAATGTAAAGCACCATATAGCCATCGAGTCAATCATCACTCTTCCTACTATGCAATTGATGTTTGATAATCCTCATTCTAGAAAAAGCTCTCTCCACTATAATAGTAGCAACTGATAAAGTTAATGCTAAAATAATAAGTCTGAAAACTAAAAGATACACGTCATCCTTCTTGAACTTAATAATTTGATTTACAAGATCAATAATATTTCTTAGAGAGGAGAATTCATCAGACTTTTTGGCTCATTCAAGCATCAAACTAATCAACTCATTCCATACAACAGAAGAGATTTTGGAACAATTAATGTGATCTGATCTCATGAAGAATGGTAATATACTTTATTCCAAAAGCGACGGCATATATTAATGTATATCATCTGCAGCAGATGGACAAAGGTTGAGCTGTTAGATTCAATAAACAAATTCGACTGCCAAATATTTAAGTGGCTTGTGGTGCATAAAGAAATTGACTAACTTTTGACCTTTTATGCAAGCAATTTGGTCATATTAGGAGACAGAAGTTTCGTTTGGGACGACTTTCAATTTTTTTAAAAAAATTTTAGTACAAAATTTAAATTTTTTGTACTAAAAAGTTGTTTTAAGAAGCAATAACAAAGCTGTCCCAAATAAAGCCTAAGGCTTTGACTTTCTTTCTGTTTTTTAAGACAATTTTTTCATATCAAAATTAAAATTTTGTACTAAAAAGTTATTTTAAGAAAAGAAGTAAAACAAAAACCATACTTATCTCATATTCATTTTATTTTCAAAACTTCACAAATTGCAGATATAAATCATAAGACCTCAAGAGAAATTTTGATTTTATCTCTCAAGTGATGACTACAAAGAGGTTAGATGCTCATAATAATAATATATTTAATGTTAAATTTATTGAATTTATTTGTTATATTTTTTAATTTCTTCATATTATGATTATGTTCAAATTTTATTATATACTTACAAATAATTCTATAATTAGTATAATATTTAAATATAATAAATATTTATTATGTCATCCAGTTTGACCCCGGCCCCAGTCGAACCATCAGACCGATAACCTCTTATTCTTCCGATTCATTATCTAGTTTGATTTTCAAAATCTTGAGTAATAATTTCTGGGGGAGCTCTTAACACTCTATCTAGGGGAGACATTCTTTTTTTATATACTAATTATTGGGAGCTCTATTCCACTCTTTTTAAGGCAATGATATATATTCTCTATTGGTTAAATAAATTTGATTTTATTTGGAACATCTTTCTTATTATTTTCTTATTATTTTTTTAATTTAAAAAAATTTGTAATAAAAAATTATTTTTGTTGCCACGCAGAAGCTATCGTTATCAAAAAATTTTACGGAAACTATCACATTTTTCTTGCACGTATGATGACATGAAGATAATTTTAGCTTTTGAGCAATATTTCTTCATTTTATTTGAATATTTATCTATTCTTAGGTGGTTAAAACGATACTTTGATGATTTTATATTGAGCTCATTTTTATTTTGTTATGGCGTTTGTTTAATATTTTGCGGAATATTTGCATGGTGTTTTTGTTTGCCTTTGATCATATATTTATAAATTTTATTATAACAATGAAATCTAAAATTTTCAAAATAAAATATATCAATAAATTAAGAGACTGCCGTTCTAGCCTGAACGCCATTACGTCATCTTCTTCGTTCATTACTCCTTGCACGAGCCGTGGCTCTGCTTCTCTCTCTCTCTGTCTCTCTCTCTCTCTCTCTCTGGGCTAGGTGCGCTTCTCTTAACAAACCTCTGTTATTCCTGCATTTATTCACTTGGGCATCATCGGCGGTCATCTGCGGCTTTCATTTATGATTATGATTTTGGATCATGCATCGAAATATCTATCCCAAACTTAGCTGATTAGAACGATTAGGGTTTCATTATGTATGCTAATCTATTTATGCTTACATATTGGTTTTGTTTGTGTGGTCAGTGAGATCAAGCTGCGATCATGGAGATCACCAACGTTTCGGAGTATGAGGCCGCTGCTAAGGAGAAATTGCCAAAAATGGTCTTTGACTACTATGCTTCTGGTGCGGATGACCAGTGGACTCTTAAGGAGAACAGGGAAGCATTTTCCAGAATACTGTAAGCTTCTGGTTTCATGCATTTTGTAATCTCTTTCAGTTTTATGACTGATAGAAAAAATCAAAACTGAAAATTAATCAAAATTTGTCTTTGTTTGAAATCAATTTGACTTGATTTTGAATCAATTCGTGCGAGAGTTTTTATTGATCTTCAGTCGATTTCAAGTTTTAATTGGTTAACTCCAATTTAAAATGCCACTAACAATAACTTATCTAAAATGGAATACATCTTTTCATGCATATCTTTTGATGTGAGTTAAATATTAGGATGTTGTATAGTTAAATATGAAAATTTAAATGTTAAAATATATAAATATATAAAAATTTTGTGGAATGCCTCTCTATGTTGATTAAGTAAATGATGGTGTTTTAGTTTATTTATTTTAGCGCTGATAATTTTTTTTGCAAACTGATGACTTGTAGATTCTGTTATAGTTACCTTGAAGCTGTAAAAGCTTTTTGGGGTCCCTCATAAGTGCATATAAGCAACAACAACATTACACCAGTGCAGTGTAAACCTTTTGGTTTATTACATTTTGAACAGTAAACAGAGTGGCACAATTAAATAGAAATAAATTAAGAAGTAAATTTTAATGATTGATGTTCCAAATATAAAAGCCTGAAGGCTTTTCAACTTGCCTTGAGGCTAGATAGACCCTGAACAAAATTAACTGTAGATTCTTTCTAATAAAGTGGAAATTATCTAAACCATTAAATTGTATCTCTAATATATTTGAAGTTTTAAACAGATCTGTATCACCAAAGAAGTAACAGTATGAATATTGACTTGAAAATCTTTCTGCTGCAAATTTAGCTAATGAATATTGAAAAGAAATTTGTGTAAAATGGATTTCCAACACAACTAATAGCAATCTGGGGAAGTGATTTATTCTTGGCTGTCAAAGAATGGCATATTGTTTTTACTAGGATTGTCATATAATAGTTGAACTATAGCATTGAATCCAGGGATCATAATTTAAAAATGTCATTCCCTCGATTGAAAATAGTTCTTGAGAACCTCTCCTTTTCATAATTTCAGCAAGATTTAATTACCACAAGATGGGACTGCAGGAAATCGTAGACCTTGCTCAAGATTTACCGTGGCATTAACACTTTTAATGGCTATCACATCACCTTCCTATTTTCAAACCTTCAGGGTTTCCTTTTTGCCTTCGCAAATAGACCAGTGTGGTGGTTGCCGCCTCTTTCATTTTCTTGCTTAATGTTATTTTGTTTTTTTGAATTAGTTGAGTCAAGAGGGACGAATTGAGCATTGAACCCATGAATGTACTGATTGTAATGTAGAAGAATGGGTTACCATAAACATTGAACATCGACTTCTTTCAGTGGCTAGGCTTAGGGCATAATCTGGTGATGATCAGTTCTGTTGTGCTTTTAATTTTTAATTGTTGACTTCAATAATCTTTGCTAGCAGTTTAACTAGTTTATTTGTGTCAATAAGTTTTTCATTGATTTTGGTCAACATGAGAAATATTATGTATTTCTTCAAGCATGTAATTACACTGCTTTAATTATTGTTATTGTGTGAGTGTTTATGGACTGTTTCTCACATCTCCTGATCCAAACGCTCGATGATTTGAGTTTGCTAAACTGAGTTTCCTTTTTCTGAATTGGCAATACAAGATCCTTTTTTTTTAGTTAAATGGCTATGTTACTCGTGTATTATTCCCGTTCCAATAAGCAATTATAAGAGAGTGAGGAAGATAGATAGAGAGAGTCAGAGAAATATAGAAGAGTAATAAATAGAGAGATGACAAGGAAGAAAAAGGGATAAAGAGAGACAAAATGATCAAGGTGGTATACAATAATGATCTTAGTGGAACATGAAGTAAATGCAATTGTGTATCATGCATAATAGAATAACAATGTGTGTAACGATGCTAGAGTCTATGATTGTACAGATTATCCTTGGTGGTAAATCAGTAATTTATAAACTAAGCACAATAATGTATTAGTGGTGAATGCAATAACCATAATAGCATATGGTGTAACCGCAATTGTATTGTATATGCTATTTCATGAAGGCCAAAAGAAATGGAGAGATGATGGTAAAGAAATAGAGGATTGAAGAGACAGAGAGAGATGAAAAGAGTGGAGGGATAGGGAAAGAGAAAGCGAGGGGAAGATATGAAGCAAGAAATTGAGAGGCTAATTGGCCTCCTTATTTTGTTGCTTCCTTTTTCTTTTCTCTCTTTCTCTCTCTCTCTCTTCCCCTCAAATGAATGGATTGTTGCATATGCGGTACTTTTGGAGAAAAGGGGGACAAGGAGAAAATAAACCATCTTTCTTTATTGTGTATCAATGGCCAATTCAAGCTTTTGTTATTGGGAGAGGGTTATAATATGAAAATATGAATTCATATAAAATGTGATATTTGCAATGTATTATATCATATCAAATAGGATGATATAAAGGTATCCAAAAATTCTTGGGGGTGGTTGTACTCAAGTCGCCAAACACGTTAGAGGGATGCTGTTGCACATCTCTTGTTCATTGGCCAAGTGCTCCTCAGGCTGGGGCTAGTGTCCCTCCGACTGGGGGGCGTGACTCTTGCTGGATGCATTTAGATCCTTTGATGCGTCCCACCTAACCTCCCCAATTCTTCCATATCCACATATCCCCCGGCTCCACCTTTGATACACTTCTTTTTATGACGTATCAATCATGTATGCACGACTTAAACAGTACTATATCTTGGTTTATAATGCATGATAAATTACTTTATTTAGGGTATTAAATATTAATTTTGAGGCACTATTGCTTTAATGCAATTCATGTGACCAATCTTGAGAATAGGGCCTGGATCGCCTGGTGTAAGAAATTTTGATAATTGGGGTTCTAATTCAGCAAAATTGTACGACATGTTCCTTATTAGCTTGCATTCTTTCTGCAAAAATAATGCTGCAACATTATTTGATTCCCTAGGTTTCGCCCGCGTATACTTATTGATGTCTCAAGGATTGATCTAACTACAACTGTTCTGGGTCACAAGATCTCTATGCCCATCATGCTTGCTCCATCTGCTATGCATAAGATGGCTCACCCAGAAGGTAAATGACATAGATTTATCGTTTTATATATGAGTGCATGCGTTTGCTTGATTTTAACAGTTCATTTCAGGTTTATAACTAGCTTTGTAATCCCGTATCTATTATTGAAAGTCTAAGAACAAATACTTCTCTAATTACTGTAATATTAAGCCGCTCTAAGCTCTTAATGAATCTTATAACTGTGAAGTATGATTTTCATATGGAAATATTGATATCTTTCTATTGTTATTATCTTTTAATGTGAATTTGGCATCATTTCAATAAATTTTAGGAATCTATGGTCTTCAATCATAAATTTACTCTGTTGTCTTGCAGGAGAGAATGCTACAGCTAGAGCAGCATCAGCAGCTGGCACTATTATGGTTTGGCTCTATTGAATTACTATTTATACTTAAACTGACATAGTGGATTTTATATTACTCTGGTAGTGGGAACTATAGAAACACCAAGCTTAATACGTCAAGAGCATCTGTAGACTTTCCACAAGCTAAAGTTGCATTCTACGTCGATTTTATTTGGTCTGAAGCTTGAAATCCATTATTTTCTAAATTATCAAATCAACCAAATAATCTGTTTGTTTGATTGGTGAATGGAAATTTTTTTTGAACCAATTCGATGACTAGTTATACAGGGCTTTAGAAGATGAGGCTGAATATAGTATAATTGACAGAAGAATTATTAGCTGTTCACAAAAACTTGGCTACCGTATTAGGTGGCATCATGTACTGATATAACCCTTTGGAGTGCGCATGCCAAACTTTTGTAGTGGCGATTTCAATATTACTCCATATTATAGGTTGATGAGGATAATGTAAGTATGCCAGATAAAATAAAATATTTTCTATATTTCTCTTCGCTCTACTTTGTCTTTTTGCCAATGTATGGTTGCAAAAGGTTGAACTCTTCATCCATGAGTTCTATGCTTAGATCTGAGCAAGAGTGGTCGAGTGGTGACCTGATAGTATAAGCCAGCTCTTTCATTAGCTCTCCTCAGCTATTTTTTGCAGTTTTTTTTTTCTTTTTTTTTTGGTGTGAGTGACTTTCACTATTGTCAAGATAATTTTTATATCTATTGAAATAATCCTTTCTAACAGTAAACCTGCTTCTAGAAGTAGTTGAAGACCAAATCTTGAAGTTTACTTCTGCATTGTGTTTATTACGCATATGTTGAAATTTCCTGACATAATCCTAACTAGCCAGCAATTACATTATACAGTTATGTTATTAACATTTCATTTGCATTACTTATTGCGCATGTGCATTCATGGTTTATTCCGTCACTATTTCATCACCATGCCTTGTCATCCTAGAAAATAACAATGGGCTTTCTCTTTTTTTTTTTTAAGACTATATCAACATTTTCTACTTCAAGTTTTGAAGAAGTTTCCTCAACAGGACCAGGAACTCGCTTCTTCCAGCTTTATGTAAGCATCCTCTTACTAACAAATTGCATCGAAAATATAAATTTTATAAACATTAAGCTTTCATTTATTCACAACTTGTATCGATGGTTAGGTTTTAAAAGACAGGAATGTAGTTGCACAGCTCGTTAGAAGAGCTGAGAGGGCTAATTTCAAGGCATTAGTCCTTACAGCTGATACTCCTGTTCTTGGTCACAGAGAAGCTGATGTGAAGAACAGGTGTGCCCTTGAAAATTTTGCTACTAAATTACTCAGCAGTTGCTCCGTCAATTGCTAATGTATGCGTATTAAGCCGTAATGAGGGAAAAAAAAAACTCCTATATGAACATTTTCAAACAAGGACAATAGAGAGCTTCATTTTAGGATTAGGAATTCTCTATTTTTCAATTTTTTATTCCTTAGCAGGAGGAAAAAGTTTTTGTTTTTTAAAAACGAGAAGTTATACCCCATGTAGTGGGATAGATGTTTGATGTCGTTGTTGTTGTAAAAGTGATAAGTTATATCCATACATTTAAAAATGACAGTAATAATAAATGACAGAGTATAAGATAGTCATATTTTCTTGAAATTGTTATATAAAATGTAATCTCTAGAATAGTTATAATAATAATAATAATAATAATTACTAGGACCATATGTGTGTGTAGATAGGCTACTGGTATAAACTCATTAAAGATGCTAATTTTCTAAGTCAAGATTTCGTGCATTTAACTTGATGAAGCACATAAATCCAGTGCATTGATTTTGTACGAGAAAAGCATATAAACAAAAAGAAAAAAAAAAAAGACCATCTATTGCATGGCTATTTTCATATTCATGAATCTCATTGGGATGTGGTTTGAAAGGATTGGAAAGAATGTAAAAAAAAATCTGTCCTTATCCTAGTGAAAAACGAGAAATTTTCATGTGTTTCCTAAAGAAAAAAATAAATTTCACATCAACTAAAAAAAGGAAAAAGATACTTGTACTCCATTTCTCCCCATTTAAGCGAGTGGGTGAAAACTAATTTCATATCAATTCCTTTCCCTCTATATTTCCATTTACTTTTCATTTTCTCTCTTTGAATTCATTCAAATCAAACATGGTATATGAGTACGAGGTTTTTAAACAAAAGTTTTGTTTTCTTCTGCAATCTCAGTTTTGCCACATTGTCATGTAGGTTTGTTTTGCCTTCATCTTTGATCTTCAAGAACTTTGAGGGCTTAGACCTTGGCAAAATGGAGAAGGTGGAATTCTTTATATATGCAAATCGATGGCTTTGTATATATCAATTTTTTTATTCCCTTGCTATTTTGAACAGACTAATGATTCTGGGATTGCTTCTTATTTTGCAAATCAAATTGACCGATCTCTGAGCTGGAAGGTACAATAGATATGATTTGAAATATTTTCCTTGTACGCTTAGTGCAAGAAAAGTTTTTTGTACTGATTTGTTGCAACTTAATGATGTTGGTAAGAATGTTAAAAAAATTATGCTAAAAATAGTGCCCATTGTATTTTAATATAATTTCCTTTAATCTAATTAAAATTTGACAGAAAAAATTGAAAACAAAAACTTGATAGTATGGTCAGAAGTAGCTCAGCGTTGACATGATAAACATTTTTATTGATTTTATCTAAGAATTAACAATTTATTTACCTAGATTAACTTAAAGAGCCATTTGGGATCATTTTTATTTTATTTTATTTATTTTTAATATGAAATTAAATATATTTGATATATTAGAAATATGTTTTTTAGTTTATTGAATATCAAATGAGTTGATTTAAGCAATGATCAAGATGATTGTTGGCAGGGCAGCCGTGGCGTCTTTGCGGGCTTCGAAAATTTGCACCCCAGCCTCTTCGTGAACCCTCTCTTTTCTTTTTTTGGCTCATCGAGGAGAGTTTTAATGAGTATGTTCCAGGGCAAATTTTTATAAGGTTTGATTTTAAATAAGACACTACCCTGAGATTTCTCCCTCATTTTGCGAGGACTTTATGATATGAGTTTTGGTTTCCTATAGGTGCAAGCTCCTATAGTTAATTATCCCTCCTAAGAATGAGAGAGAAGTTTCGATCAAGGCTAGTCGTCAAACAGATATGAAATATCTAACATATAGTAGCAACATGATTTAGATATTTGAAAATTGGAAATTTCACCATCTTATACTTAAAGAGGATGGTGGGGGATGGTGATGAACCTGATCAAGATCCCATGGTTCAGTCATCTCGGGCCATCATAGTCCCTTGTCTACTTAGTCAGAGGATGTAGTCAGCCCAACCTGATAGAAGGATTCTTGTTGGCAGTCATGGGTTGCGTTGTCCAAGGGTTCCTTGTAGATATGGGGTAAATATTTGTTTAAGAGGACAAATTTGAATCCACCTTAACTAACAAAGGGCGTTGTGCCCTATCGATTATATCCTATTGATTCATTGCTCAATGATTTGAAGTCGTTAGGGAACATACGGGCTCTGAATATAACCACAATTTAGTGGTGACATTTGACTACAAAATTACCCGGTCATAACTGTTTACCCGCGGTGCCATTTAGTGGTGAAACCATTGTTGTTGTGTCATTTGGTAGTAAAATCAACAGTTAGAGTACACGTACCACGTCCTTATTGGCAAGAAATATATTGAAAATGAATCCTAGTGATATTCTCGACCAGACATTTGCTCTTTGTAAGCCAATTGATTTTTCAAATTTATTTGCCTTGTGAAAAGGTTGGAGTAGCTCTAGTGGAAGATAAGATTAGAGAGAGTCGCCTTAGTGATTTGGTCACATTAAACAGAGGCCTTCCAATGATCCGGTTAGGAAAGTTGAGGTATTAGATTTGAATTATGTTAAGAAAGATAAAGGTAGACCTAAAAAGACTTGGTTAGAAAATATTAGTAATGATATTTCTTTATTAGATTTAAATGAGAATTTGACTTTTAACTGGACACAATGGCGAAAAAGGATTCATGTAGCAGATCCCTCGTAGTGGGACAAAGGCTTGATGTTGTTGTTGTTGGTAAACTATTGCGGAGGGTTGATTGATTTTATTTTAAGTGCTTAATGATTCATTTCATTTTTAGATATCTTGAATTTTGGTGCTTTTGAAATTTTGAATTTTTATGGGCATTTGGATGTATTTTAAATGTTTGGAGCCCCATCTAGTTGAGATTTTTTATCAACTTGGCTATCATCATGGTTTTCATAAGTTATTTCATTTTTTGTTGATTAAACCTTGTCGACTCTGCCTACTTGCTGGTAGAGGATCATGTTCGAATTCAAATCCATGTTTTAACCTGCGCAGCATCCTCAGGCATTACGTGTATATCTACGACACGCTCATCGAGACCCATGTGAATATATGTTGTTGAATGCATTTTGCATGATGCATTTATATAATTGTTATACATATGTAGTAGATGTATACAACGCATATTCATATGTCATGTTTATTTGCCTATGCACTTTGTATTTTGTGTTCGCACATCATATAATTGTGGTGTGAGGCATTTTTGCATCTAGATATAATATTGTATGATATTACTTGAATGAAATCCTCTGTATATAGCAAATACATGCTGGAGGACACTCGACTGCACATGTACAACATATATGCATGTAAATGCAATATTAAATGACATTCTGATAGGAAATACGTGAGTTCGCAAGTAACCCTAAGGAATACTTGAAGCCACAAGCAAACCTAATCACAATCGGAGTGGAAAACAGCAGGAAAACTGCTGTTTTGAGCAGTGGAAAGCAGCCAATCACAAGGAAGACAGTGAGAAAAAGCAAGAAAACTAAGAGAAACTCAAATAAAGACTTGTATTTCACTAGTAAATGAATAAAATTAGCAAAGATGCAATTGTTCTTCAATTTGAGAGGAAGAACAACTCTCCAAATCTCTAGCAACGCCAAGAGCCAAAAGCAAGAAAACCTAGATCTCAAATTAAAAATTCAAATTCAAGATACCCCCCTCTTCCCTCCTAATCCCCTAATTAACAATAATGAAGAAATACAAAATACCTAAACAACCCTTGCATTCAAAAATTTTCCCTCCCACCCTTGCATTCAGCCCACGTGGGCCCCCTTTGGATTTCCGCTCCCCCTCTCTCTTGTTTTCTTCCGCCGGGTGTAGACCCAGACTCGTCCAGGCTGGACCAACTTCCTCTTGGGCCGGCGTAACATTACTCCCCTCCAAAAAACTCACTTAGTCCTCAAGGTGAAAGGAGGAAAATTGCTCTTTCACTCTTTCAAACGGCTCCCAAGTCGCGTCGAAATCAGGGAGGTCCTTCCATTGAATCAATACTTCCTTATTGCCTTCTTGATCGGATCTTACCCCCATAAGCTCCAGGGGTTCTAAAATCACTTCCCAATCCTCCGTCATTGATGCTGGTAACTGTTAACCTCTGTAAGAATGAAACAAGAGGAGAAGAAACGAAAATGGAAATCCAGCATGCATACTTCAAACCCGACGGATCCAGAAATACCGCAAGAAATCCCGGTTGGAACACCGGATGTATAGTAGCGGAGGGGGGTAACTTCAGACGATACACCACTGCTCCAATCTTCCCCAATATCTCATAGGGACCAAAGTACCTCGGGGCCAGTTTCTCGTTCCTCTTGCTAGCCACTGATTTCTACCTGTAGGACCTTAGCTTCAAGAACACTTTCTCCCGCACTTCATATTGTATGTCTCTTCTGTGTGTAGCCGCTCGCTTCTCATTATTTGTTATGCCCTCTCCAGATATTTCTTTAACTCTTCCAACACTCGATCCCTCTCTTCTAAGTACTGTTCGACTAAAGAGACGGGTGTGTTTCCCTTCCCATAATGTACTAAGTGTGGGGGGCTCTTCCATAGAGCACCTTGAAAGGAGTCATTTGGGATGCCGAATGATACGAAGTGTTATACCAGTACTCCGCACAGGGCAACCATTTAGCCCACTTCCGTGGTGTTTCAGAAGCAAAACACCTCAAATATGTCTCCAAGCTTCGGTTAACCACTTGTGTCTGTCCGTCTGTCTGTGGATGGTACGCGGTGCTTCTCTTGAGAATTGTGCCATGCATTCTGAAAAGTTCTCTCCAAAACTGACTGAGGAACACTTTGTCTCTATCCGACACAATCAATTCTGGAATCTCGTGTAATCTAACCACTTCCCTGATAAATGTTGTTGCCACTGATACTGCAGTGTAAGGGTGTCATAGGAGCATAAAGTGTGCATACTTACTGAGTCGATCCACCATGACTAAGATGACTGTGAATCCTTCTGAGCGTGGTAAGCCGTCGATGAAGTCCATAGACACTTCCTCCCATACTCTGTTTGGAAGTGCTAATGGTTGAAGTAACCCTCCTAGCGCCATTGTCATGTATTTATTTCTCTATCACACCTCACACCTTGCCACCATCTCCTCAACATTCTTATACATCCCCTTCCAGTAGAGCTCCGATGCCAGCCTCTTATATGTCTTGTGTACTCCTGAATGTCCTCCAACTGCACTGTCGTGGAATCCTGCAATAGGCGAGGAATGTGTATTGTGATGTTTGTGGCATCACAAACCTTCAATGGTATAATAGCCTCTCTCCCTCTAGATAGTACCCTAAATGGCTGCTACTGTCCTTCTTCAAACTTTCCCTGATCTTCTTCAACTCTTCATTCTGCATGCTCTCCTCCTTGATGGCCCACCAGTCAACCATTAGTGGTAGTGAAACTGCCACCTCCTAAAGTTCCCCCATACACCTGGATAAGGCATCAGCTGCCTTGTTTTCCACCCCAGGCTGATACTGGATCTCAAAGTCATAGCATAACGGCTTTGACAGCCACCTCTGATGTTCTTCGGTCATCATCCTTTGCTCTAACAAATATTTCAAACTCCTCTGATTTGTTCGAACAATGAAATGCCTACCTAATAGATAAGGGCGCCATTTCTGAATGGCTAAGACTATGGCCATCAGCTCTCTCTCATACACCAACTTCAATCTAGCGCTGGCCGATAGCACCTGACTGAAATAGGCTATATTCCTGTGATTCTACATCAACACTGCTCCTAAGCCATATCCTGATGCGTCGGTCTCCACTATAAAAATCTGACTGAAATTTGGAAGAGCTAACACTGGAACTGTCGTCATAGCTTTCTTCAACCTCTCAAAAGCCTGGGTTCCCGCTTCTCCCCATAGAAAGTTGTCCTTCAGTTACTCAATCAAGGGCCAGGCGATGGTGTTGTATCCATTCACAAACCTTCTGTAATAGCTAGTAAATCCTAGGAAACCCCTCAATTCCCTTATGTTCTTAGGTAGTGGTCATTTCTGCATTGCCTCAATCTTTGACTGGTCGGTCGCCACTCCCTCTTCAAATACCACAATCCCCAAATATTCCACCCTGGACTG